CTTTGCTCTGAACAATTCATAAGACAATTAGCAAGTAGCGAGGCTGAAATTAAAACTCTGGTCTGAATGACTTCAGATTCTCTCCATAATACTGCTTGAGGATAGACGCATCTCAGAGGTAGAAGCAATGGGCCTTGGTGACCGGCCAGTTGTGTGAGAAGCCGGTGAGAATGAGTTAGGACAGTGACAAGATTTGAAGCCTGGCCAGCTAGTGGGAGAAAAGAGGACATTAACCAAGACAGGTGATGCTGAGGAAGAAAGCAGGTTTGGACTTAAGATTGGCACGGGGTCAGCCCAAAATAGGTCCCAGGTCTTGAGGAGACAAGAAAATTTTAAGCATTAAAGAGCTGTAACAGGGATGAGATTCTGAATTGATCGGCCTTCAGGCTGAGGTTTGAGATTAAACCAAGAGAGGCAAGAGAGCCAGTGGGCTGTGGCGGAGTAGAGCTGTGCCCAGGCCCCGTCCTAGTTACTTACTGGCTGTGAACCACGGGCAAGGAACTTAATCTCGCTGATCTAAGCTTCTTCTGCGGAGTGAGGAAATCAACCCTGAGCTCCACACACCTTGATTTCGGGGAGAATGGGAATTGCTGATAGTGGTGAGGATGCTTTGGGGAGGTCCTGAGTTTTAGCTGGTGGAGCACTTTGGTATGTGTACTCTATAGAGACTGTGGCTGAGATGTTGCAAGCCCCTGGAAAACAGCACTGAAAGACCCTGTTGTATATACTGGTCAGATTTGTTTGCTGCTGTTTCAATAAAATATAATATCTTGTGGGGACATATCCCCCTTTGTCTTTCTAGTCTTGTCAATTCTGCTTCACTTCAGGCTGGGTGAATACTGGATCCAATACTGTCTTCCTGTCTTTTCCAAGTCCCAACTTACAATGCCTCTTTTGTCTCCCTCAAGGGTAGAGGACCTCTGGGCAACCCTGTCCCCATCATTTGCTCATTCTACACTCAGTGATCTTGAACTCTGCTACAGGACCTGAGCTAAGTACTGAGGCCACAAGAATGAACAAAACCAAGATCCCTGGCCTGACACTGATCCCTAGGGCAACCAACAGTTTTATAGACACCCTTTTTTCACTCCTGTTCTCTACTGAAGATGTGTTCATACTTCTAAGACAAGAGATTAACCAAGCAAGTGAGACATAGGGGCAGGGGTAGGGATGGTTTTGGGGGTAAAAGTGCTGCTCTGTTCCAGGTATTTTATTGATGTTATCAGATTTAATCTTTTCCATAACTGTAGGAAATTACATTGATCATTCCCATCTTGCAGATGAGGATCCTGACTGACCCCCGGTGCATCATTGGTTGAGCTGAGCCACAGGGGAAAGGGCTTCTAACCTTGATGCCCTCAAAAAGTGCTCAAGAAACAGGGATTAAGAAGAATTCTGAGCAATTGAGGGCACAGCAGGCCCAAGTCATATAATCCAGAAGGAGGGAGTGATGATGAGTCTGAGCTAGATTACCTGTCTGGGGTCAGTCACCCAGGGCAGGCCAGAATGGGCCCTGCAATGACTTTACCTTGCAGAACTTCCAGGGGTCTTGGAAGATCTAGAAGCTCTGAGTGACACATGACAAATGGGCCTCTTGACCAAACCCTACATCTGGAGGGCTGAGGTGTTCCCAGAAGGAACCCAGCTGTGTGGAAATGAGAGATGGAAAAAAGCAGCAGGTTCCAACAGATTCTGAAATCCTTCCATGGTTTCCTGAGCCTGGACGCTCACATAGTCCCTTCCCCTCTTCCTATCCACTATTACCTCTAACTGGTGCCACTGTTTTATTGTTATTTGCTTTGTTTTTTTTTTTTTTTTTACTCTTTTGACCTGACTAGACTTGGAGTCAATGGAGAAGGCCTAGTGTGGGGTAGTGGAAAAGTAGTGTTTCCACTGGGTTCTCACTGGGCATAGGAATGCAAACAATGGATTTTACCTTTAGGATTCTCAGCGTTTTTGCCTGGGAAATGTAGAAAGTGATACTCACCTCTTCAGCCTGTTGGGGATATGAAATAAAACAGTGGATACAAGGACCTCTAGCACAGTACCTGGAATATACTATATGTTCAATAAATATTTTGTAGGTGTATGGATTGCTGCTTTACACCCTACCCTGCCACAGTTGGTTCCACTGTTTCTATTTAGGAAAGTAAGTTGGGATTCTCTATGGCAGACCTCAGCTGTATCAGCTGAATTACAGTGAAGGGTACAAGCTCATCATGTGCCCTCTCCTGCTGTCCCCATTCAAAAGGAAATAGGGAAAGCTCCTTGCTAAAGCCCCCCTCCTTCTGCTGAACAATAAGCATCAGCAGCAGCACTGGGTGGCCCTGCCTCTTCTGTGATGGACTTTGGCAGCACAGATACATAGTGGCCTCCAGCTTGTCCATCAAGGTAAATAGAACTTTAGTCCTGTCTCTGATCCTCTGAACTAATACAGAGCAAAACCAGCACTGTCTGGGTATGAAGAATTGTGTGAGAACCATGCAGAGACCTGGCATCTTCCTCCTGTCCCCTTCCCACTCTTCCTTTTTGCATAATTGGGTAGACTAGAAGGTAAGCTGCAGCGCCCCCTGCTGGGGCTTGGAGGACCAGCGGTCTCCTGCTGCTCACCAGACAGCTCAGTGCTGTCTTCCACTTCAGGGCTGAAAATCTTTTCTCTCTAGCTTGATGTCACAGGTAATAGCCTTGTCCAAGAAAGTTAAGGAGGAAGTAGAAGGTCAAGGCCATTGAAAGGGCCACGAACAACCTCTAGTCTCTTGAGTACTCTTTCCTTTCTGCTCTGCTAACGTGGAGAGGCAGACAGATACTATTGCAAACAACACAAAATCTGCCTCATTGCTGTGCATTAGTAGAGTCCATATGCTGTAATCCAGAGACACTTAATGTTGCTGTATCTAAAGATACTTTAAAATATACTTTTTATACTGGACACACCATCCTCTGACATCTAAAAATGTAACCTCCTGCCTCAAGTCATTTCTCTCCAGAGTCATAAAGAAGGAGTGAGCTACAGAGCAGCCCAGCTCCCAATCCAGTATCCCCTAGAGAAGGAGCACAACCCTCACCATTTTCTCCATCACAGATGGCTATTCAGACTCTGGTTACATACCTCTGGTGATGGGGAGCCCACGGGTCTTCCAAGGGAGCCCATCCAGTAGTTGGCAACACTAATTGCTAGAAAGCTTTCCTGAAACATCCTGAATAGAAATTTGTCTTATTGAGACTCACTCCCTGGATTTGGTTATTATTACCTCTTGGCACCAGAACAAATTTTCTTCTTTTGTCCCATGGTGTCCCTCTAACTTTGTAGAGATGGTGGTCTTACTTTCCCACTCCTATTCTTTCTTCTTCTTCTTCTTATTTTTTAATCTCAAGGATAAATAATTCCCATCTCCTTGTCTATTTCTAGTGGGAAATGACTTTCAGACACCCATTCTGGTCACATTTCAAGGGATCCTGTGTGTCACTCAGTGAGCACATACTTTTTTTGACTAATATTCCCAATACCTAAGTTCATGAAATCTTCTTCTACTATAGGAGGTAGACATTACTGTGACTATCTCACAGGTGAGGAAACTGAGATCCATAGCTGTTAAATAACTTGCCTAAGATCACACAGATATGAAGAGATAAAACCAGGGTCTGGGTTTAGAATTAGGACTTAGAGGTGCCTGTCCCCAAGTTTTTGCTCTTATGCCACTAGCATCTGTGCTATCTGTGGCCCATGGTCTAATTATCAAAGCAGTTTTTAAAATAGGGGGACCATATGTGGTCATGACATATGGATGAGGCCTGGACAGGGAAAAATAGATCTATACTATCATCTCTCTCATTTTATGCAGCCGGCTTCTGTTTGTGCTATCTAAACGGATGCTATCATTTCCTAGAGAAAGTCAATTATAAGCCCCAGGACTCTGACACAGGAACTGCTGGACATTCAAATCTGACTGTTCTTCTGATCTTAATGACAGAGTCCCTGACTGCAAAGTGAGGGTCACTCTAGTGGGTGGGTTGACTGGTTTTTGAGGGGGTTTTTACCTAAAGGGAAAGGTGCCGAGAACACTCAGAGGATCAGAAGCTGCACAAACCCCACTTTATTCATGTTCCTCTGAGCCATAGGAAAAAAAAAAAAAAAAAAAAAAAACAAACCCAGGGGAGAAGCTGTATATACAACATGACATTTATAGCCAACTAACATATGGTTCTTTGTTATCATTTCTGAAAACCAACATGCAAAAGGAGAACAGGCTTTGCTCTTCGGTTTTTTTTGTTTTTTTTTTTTTTGCAACAAACTCCAAAAATCTCCAACACAAAGGGAGAGAATGCTTAACTGAAGCTTTGTGCTAAAGGCCCTATCTCCCTGGAGCTCCCTTCCTCTCCCTATCTCCTAATCCTCATTTCCAGGAGGTCATTTTAATTAGCAGACTGTCATGGTGACTCAGCCTGCTGCTTCCCACAGACAGGAAGGGAGCAGACTCCCCCGACCCATTCATCATACAAAGGCACTTTACTCTTTAGAAAAATGCATAATATTTAGCTTGCTCCACTTTGGGAATTGCTGCTGCTGTTGTTTTATTTTATCATTCATACCTGCCTGGGGGTGCATTCTTTTGTTTTTGGTGTCTCCCTTATCTGGCAATTGCCTTTTCCTTGTGTAGATTATCAATGCCCACCTCTTGGGGGCTGGGCTGGATCCCTGTCTCTAGGACTTGGAGACCTTAAAGATAATAGGTCTTTTGGAATGAATGATTTTATATATATATATAAAATTTTTGTCTTCACAGCTTAAGTTTCAATCAAACTACACAAGAGTGAGAAATAGCTCTCTTGGAACAGTTTTGTGTGAAGTTGCATGCTGGGGTTTGGGGGAATCAGAAAGCATGTGGCTTAGAGAGACAGTGACCATAAAGCTAAGATCACCTTGATTTCAAAAATTCTGTCCCATTGTTCCCAACAGTACCTCTGCCTTTGGCTTGCCTGTGTTGTTGCTATTGTCTTGGATCAGAAAATACGGGCACTACTTTTCTAAAGCTGTAAACTCCTGTGACCTATTTTAAAAGCAAGCCATCTATAGTAACTACATGACTTTAAAAGGTAAAGGGGCTTCCAAAGAACTGACCTGAGATGTGTCAAACCTCTTAAGAGGGATGTATAGGTTTTTCCTCATCCTGTGAGGATCTCTGTGTTGTGGAAAATAGCATCTGTGTTTGTCTGGTCCCAGTTTCCTATTTTGTTCAGCCTTGAGCTGAAGGCTCACAAACGATTTCCCACTGGCAGAAGGGAAAAATCAATGATGAAATTTCTCTTTTTTCCCTTCTCTTTCTCTAGCCTATGCTTTATCCCATAAATCCTTGTCTTGAAAACCAGAGAAGAGTGCCCCAGCAGGAAATTCACGCTCCTGCCCCCACAAAACCTCGGGGGCCTCCAGTCTTTAAAAGGGGTTTGAAGGGTCTTTGTGGTTCACTGAGCTCTTCTTGTCCCCTTTGCCGTTGGGGTAGTTGCTGGCCGAGCCCCGCACGAATGGGTGCTTGTAGGGAGGGGGCTTTTCTTTCCTGCAAAGGGGGAGATAACAGAAAGAGAAGACAGCACATATACACACTGAAATGCAATCGTCACTGTGCATGTCTATCTCCCCGTTGGACAGTGACCTCTCAGGAGCAGTGCCCTTGTCAACCCCTACTCTGTGACAGCAGCATCCATCTCAGAGCCTGGTTCAGAGCAGGCAGTAGACCAACTTATGCCTGTGAGATGGATAGATGGACAGATGGACAAATGGGTAGATGGACAGATGGATGGATGAATGAATAGATGGATGGATGGGTGGATGGATGGACCGACGGATGTTTGCACTGTGTTATGCTGGTTCTGGAGAAAACTCAGCTGATCTACAGCTTTGATTCTTCTACTTTTCTACTCTGATTCTAACTCATCCAGCCCATTCCATGATGGGATGGGGATGGGCACATAGAAAAGATATAATTTGAAATTTTAGAAGGATGTCAGTAGAGTTAAGGTGACTGTCTTGGGGTCCCTAGTATGTGGAAAACCCCCAGACCCTTGTAAGAAAAAGAATTATGGCTTAGGTGGGGTGGGGACCTCATTCCTTACAAGACATCAAGGGCTTCAGAATCCCTTTTTCATTTGTCAGCATTGCCTAATTGTAGAATTTTATAATGTCTATCTTCCTGATATGCTTGGGGGATCTTGAAGAACAGAGAGGTATCTGCTCATCCCTCTTTCCCAGCACTCAATGTCCAGCACCCAGGGCCACGTGGTTGACACTACTGTTCCATACTTTCATGGTCTGCTTTGCTCACAATGAGTTCCTAGTGAGCAGGGGCCAAGCTTGATTCATTTTTGCATCTTTTCTGATGTGGTGCCTTGTGTATTATGTTTTTGACTGATAAACAGATGTGATATTCATTTAGTAGTTGGACTAAGATTTACTTCTTGGGGGAAAAGTGGGTTTTTGAGCCCAGAAGAAGTGATCCGAATTCCCAGGTTGGCTTTGTTCGAGAGGTGCGATCCTGAAATTCTTCTCTGAGCTTCATTTGTAAAATGAGAATAAAATATTCCAACCTTGCAGTAGTATTGGGATGTTAAGTGAGATAATATGAGAAGACACACCCAGAGTCTCCCCTTCTCTACAGTAATTTACAAACACGTGGTGCTGGGTGTGGTCTGACAGACTCAGGAGGCGACTTGACATTGATGATGTTCAAGTCTCTTACTGTTTAGTAGAGGAGATAACTGTGCAAAGTAAATGCAAGAAATAATAAACAGTGTTTAACAGAAATTGGTAAATTCCATATATGGGGAGTGTCTTGGGCTAAGTTTGAATTAGGACTGAAGAAGTTTTCTTATGGGCCATCACGGTCATAATCTGTCTCTGGAATCCCCATTTTCCTTCAAAGCTGATGACTCACATATTGGGTCAAGTTGGAGTAGCTGGCAACATGCCCTAACATAGCTCCCCACTGGGAAGCCGGGCTGCCTGAAACTTAGGCTCACTGAAGACCTCGCTCTTGCAGTGAGGCTGTCTAGGGTAACTGAGGTACCTTCAGACATCTCGTTGGGTCCTGCTTCTTGACCTCTCACACCCTGGCTCCCAATGTGGAATGCTCTCTCTTCCCTTCCATTCCGTCCATCTAAATTCTTCAAGTCCTTCAAAACCAAGTTCAAACTTCACTTCCTCTCTGAAGCTCTCTTGGGATGTGCCTATCAAGTGCCAAAGACTTGCCAGATTACAGTGGGAGAGTATTATCTGTTTGGACCTCACTTTTCTCTTCTATTGTAAAAGAGATTGAGGAGATGATTTCTGGATTTTCTTTGGTTCTATTATCTTCTGTCCAGTTATATTCAGGAGTCAATCTATGCTAGCACTGCACTATGCACTGAGGTCACAGAAGTGAACAACACTGTTTCTCCGGGAGAGGCCTGACTAGTGGAGAAGGCGGACAAGCAGGATGCCAGGATGGTCCCACAAGGATGCACCCTGCTAGAGGCATGTACAGAATGTAGCCAGGAGCTCACAGAGGAAGCAGCTCTGCCTCAGGTGGAGGAGAGGATAGGGAAGCAGGCAGTGTGACATTTGGACTAAGTTTTGAAAGCTAAGTAGGAGTTCACCATCCACAAGATAAAAGGGAGAACATTCCAGGAAGAGGGAAAAGAATGAACAGCTAACTTATCCAGGATGAAAAGCAGGGCATGAAATGGTAGAAAGCACATGCTCACAGGGGTAGGGGCATGAAAGCAGGCAATAAATGAAATTTCAAATATAGGCCAAGGTCTTGAAAAGCAGGAAGGGAAGTTGAAATGTTAGTCTGAAGGTAATGGGGAGCCATGGAAGGTTTCTGAGAGGGCATAATCAAACACATAGTTAAGTGCTTACTGTAGTCTTTTCAGTAGTGTTACATTTGCACATCTGCATGCCCTTTTCCTCCTGATAGGTGGGGCTAACTATAAGCCTCCAGCACTCAGCACAGGGCCTGGCACATGACGGACTCCAGTGCATTGAGTAGCTGGATTCCTCTTCACACACACATGTACACACCATGACCTCAGCTTGCAGCCGCTCTCCCAGTCAGGCACTGGGCTGAGCCCACTTTATCCTCAGAGACCAGCCCACCCTCAACACTTAGGCTCTGTCTACCCACAGAAGCACAATTGGTCTGTCCATTTTTCCAAAATTATCCTCCTTGATGGGGCATTTGGGACTTTAGCTCTAGGATTGTTGTTGTGATCAAAATGCATGGGGAGGTCTCAGCTCTGGTCATCAATGCCATGCCCCTGAGCCTGCTTCCCCTCCCCAGGGCCCTGTCCTGAAGGGCAGCCCAGCACCAAGGATGCCAACCGGCTTCCACCAGCGTGTGGGTGGAAAGTGACATCTTGTAATTATCCATAGAGATGGGAGAAAACAAAGATTAATTTTGAGTCAAAACATGTAATTTTCCTTTAAAGCCAGAACTGCTCTTTTACTTAAGCTATTTGATGCTTGGGTGGAAAATAATACAAAAAAAGGAAGAAGTATTCAAATCCCAAATTAGAGCTCAGAGCCTTATATTTCTGAGAATTCATTCTTAAAGGGTTACCAACCAATTTAGAGCTAAGTGGTGTTCATAGTTTGTTAGAGAAGGAGGTGTGGGGTTAGGAAAGGGAGTTAATTTTCCTTTTTTAATTTAAGGGTGGCTGTATTTACCTCGAGTCTTCGAGGCTGTGGACTAGTGAGGAAAGAGCTCTCCAGCTTTTTTCTAAACAGAGCTCCAGAGCTCACAGAAAGGAGGTGCTGGTGCTCTGAGCAATTGAAATGTGAGCCCTGAGAACTCGCCTGCACCCTTTTGACCCAGCTTCAAGCTCCCTTACTGAACAGCATCTCCAAGAGCTCCTTCCCCACCCATCCGTGCACATCAGACTTCAGGGAAGTTCTGGGCTCCAGGCCTGACTCTGACCCCAGGACCCTGAATAGCCTCTGCTCCCTGGGCCTCAAGGTCCTCATGGGTATCATGAAGAGTGAGGTGCTTGCTAAAGTCTCCCTGAGTGTCAGCTCCAGGTCCCTGATGGAAGACCATGCAACATGCCAGAAAATGTGGTTCAGGATCAAGGTGATTTTGATTTAGGTAGGCTGACAGAGGACCTGAAAGAGATAATCCCCAAATTAACTTGTAAATGAGATTTCGAGTATTCTTTTTGAGTTTTATAAAGCTTTAAAACTTTTAAGATCTTTAACTAATCAAGAATGACTTCTAAGAATGAACTGAGCACTTTCCTCTGGAGGTGAGCCCCTCAAAGACAGGGTCAGGCTGCAATCATATTCAACTCTGTCTAGCTCCCGCCCTGCCAGGAGCCTGGCATGAAGGGCTATCTTTCCTAGGTGAATGCATGAATGAGTGAATGAGTGAATGTATTCATGTATGCTCAGGGCAGGGTAGGCACTGTAGGGGCATAGAGAAGAAACAGAGGTGATATTCCTGCAGGAGTTTTTAATACCCCAGGACGGGGGCACAGGACTGCAAAGTGTGTGAGTAACCTGAGATGGGGCCTCATCTGAGCATACCGTCCTTCAGGCTCTATGTGGACCTGGGGTTCAGAGAAGGTGGGTCCTGAGATATCATCAAGACCAACCAAATAGGTCAAGGGACTTGTCCTAGGTCACCATGAGCTGGGACTGCAACATAGAAATGAGAGGAGATGAAAATAGTTTTTGAGCATCTATTAGCTGCTGGGCATTCTACTATGCTTGTATCTCATCTTCAAAACCATCTTGAAAGTTTCTCCATTTAGTAGATAGAAAAAAGCTTCAAGAGGCCAAGGAACTTGTCTAAGATCCCATAGCTCCTATGAGCCTGAGAGATTTGAACCTACACTGATGAACCTCCACATGAGATAAAATTTAGATGGTTCTGGAACCACAGAAACCTAGGACCAAACCCTGGCTCTGCTGAAAAAAAAAAAAAAACTCTTTGACCTTGGGCAATTCTCTTCACCTTTCTGAGCCTCCATTTCCTCATTTGTAAGATTGGAAACAGAATGCCTAAAAGGAATAAATAAGATGCTTTCCATAAAGTACTTCATATAAAAAAATAACAGTAATTTTTTTTAATTAATGACAGAGTAGGGAGGAAGGTACATCAGTGCTAATGTCTGAGGCACTAAAATATATGGGCGAGGTCACTGGAAAGGAGTGACCTCGCAGGAGGTGACCTGGCAGGAGTGGGGAGTTGAATATCACCATGTCCTTCCAGGAGATTGGGCCACTAAGTAAGTAGGAAATGAGGCCCAGAGGTAGGGCAGGGTCGGCCCATTCTAGATGCCATTGGATTCACTGCTCACTGGGCTCACCACCAGTAGGCATGGGAACACCCGGAGCCTTTCCCTAAGACAACATGGAGATTTCCAAGCTGTCTTTCCTCACTGAACCTGCAAGTTAGCCCCCCAGAGGACCCGAGGAAGGATTTCTGAGGGTGTGTCCTTGTTAGCCCCAAACCTCCAAGTCTATGTGAATGGGACTATGGTGTAGTGTCAGGATATATGAACACCTGGCACTGTGCTGGGTGCTTTATTGTAGATCTCACATGAGTCTGCAGTGTGTGCCACTGTACCCACTTTACAGATGAGGCACCCAGACCAACTTAGAGCAGGGACTGACCTCAGATGCCCAGCACCACCCAGCCTTGTGGATTACCGTGTTAGTCCCAGAAATGCGACCACCTCCTCCCTGTCTGAAACAGGGTGTCAATAGAGTGTATTGTCATGCCAACTGTCTGGGGACCTGGGGCTCAGAACTGTAGGACTCGCTTCACTGAGGATCATTGGGACCAACCAGGTGAGCCAAGGGCCTTGTCCTGGATCACCTGCTGCTGGCTGGAAATCTGAAACTAAAACCCAGAATCTGAAGGAGGAGAGAATTAGTGATATTTGTGTTCAGGAATATGCTCTTTGGATTCATGGGCTCTGTGGCAAGGCTGGGGCTAGCTCTCCTGTGGTACAGGTGGGAAAAGAAGAAGAGGGTAAAGGAAGCCAGCACCAAGACTCCAGCCCGACTGCTCTGCTGTGCCACTTACCGCAGCCTGGGCACGGGAACTGCCATCTTCTCCACCAGAGGGTTCAGCCGGTAATAATCCAGAAACGTTCTTGCCACGTTCCTCCCCAGCTTCATATCTGCAGGCACGTGTGTTAAGGAGTGACTTCAAGGAGAAACTGAGACTGAGTGAAAAGGGGACTTATGACAAAAAATGACAACAGCAACTAAGGCAAGTAATACCACTCATTTTTCTAAGGTTGGAGTTTGTTCTGTCTTTTCAGATCCTCGCCAAATGGCGATCACTATTAAATGATCTATTATTAAATGGTCATCACTGTTGCTATTCTCACTTTATAGATAAGGACATTGAAGTGCACAAAATGCACAAAATTTAAGTAATTTGCGTAAGAACACAGAATTGGGAAGGGGAGGCTCTAGGACAGGGTCTGGATCCCCTTACCTCAAAGTCTGTGCACAGAGCTTTGAGATGAACAGCGGCCCTTTTGAAATCACTGGGCTTCCCTGGTCTGATTTCAAGTGTCTCAGGATGAAGTCAGATGAGCGAGGCCCAAGGGCAAGAGCATCTTTATTGCATTTAGATCAGAGTTTACCTGACCTTCAGGGATTAATCAGTCATCTGCTTCAGTAATCTCAGGTACAATAGTAAAACCCTTTGACTCTAAATGATATCCCCATTCCACCTTGAAATGCAAGGATAAGGATTTATGACCAACTTATTAAAGCATAAACTCCCCAGGGAAGGGGAAAGGGCCAATTCCATATTGACCATTAACCCACTAGTAGGAATCGGTACAACAATCATCTCTTCAACAGCAGAGTATCTGCCCTGCGCATCCTCTCTTGCATCTCTGGCTTCTCTTACATGCTATTTCCTCATCTTGAAGTGCTTCTCTTTTTTGCCTAGTGTGTGCTCGTCAACTCTCCAGTTAGGTGATCACTCCCTGGTAGAGCCTTCTAGGATACTCTTCTCTCCCCTCCCAGGACCCAGTGGCACCCTTTCCCCACGCTGTCATGGTTCAGAACAGACTGCATCAAAAGCATCTGTCACTTATCTCCTAGTGAGGGAATTAGGCGTTTACCACTGAACCTTAGCCATTCCTGTCCCTTGGCCCACAGCCCCACACAGCCACGCCTTCCCCATCCTTCCCGAGGCCTCCTCTCTTTTGAATTTGTCTACTTCTCTCCATCCCCCAGAATAGTCTGATATCATCTTTTCCCTGAATCACTGTTGTCTGTCCTTGTGGGCCTCCTGCTACAGGATGCCCCCTCCAGGATACTTTATTCTGTGTAGCCAGAGGGCGTTCTAAAATGACATCCCACAGTGCTACTCAGCTGGGTAAAACCCTTTAGTAGCTCTCAGGTGCCCTTAAGGCCCAAATTTCTGACATGATTTATCAGGCTGTCCATGGTGGGGTCCCTGGTCATTTTCTGAGCTTTGTGCTGGCCCCTCCTGCCTCCCACCTCCTGCCCACCTTGGTGCTGCAGTACTGAACTTCTTTTGCTGTACCCTGCATCTCCAGGACCACTGCCCCGGTTGCATGACCTACAGGGCCAGCTCGGCCTCAGCCCCCACACATCACTTCAGTTGTCATTTCCCTAGATAAATCTTCCTTGGTGCCCCTGCTAGGATAGAGGTACCGTCTGTGTCCCCACAGCCTATCTCCCAGTTCTTCACCAACCTGACCACTTATCACATTGTATTTTCACTGTCTCTTTTCGGTAGCCCCCCCATGGCCTGCTAGCTCTGTGGCAGAGGCCATATCTGTCCTATCTGATCACCCACATACTTGCCTGGCAACAGGTGTGAAATATATATTTGTTGAATGTATAAATAATGGCTAATATTCATATAATGTTTAATAAGTGCTCGGCAATCTTTTAAGTGCCTTATGTATACTGATTCACTTAAGCCTCACAACAGCCCCATGAGGCAGATCTATTCTTATTCTCACTGTTCAGAGAGGGTGGGGGATGGCCCCAAAGGCATCTTATAAGTTCTAGAGCTGGGGTTTGAACCTGGGCATCTCCTCAAACTGCCTCCCAGGATCACCTCCAGGATCTGCACCATTTCAGGTTCATGTTGGGGTCCCTTGCCTGACACATGGTTGAGAACCTGAGTCTACTGCGATGACGAGACTCACACCCCTGACTTGGGAGCACGCGGTGGGGCATGCATGGTGATGCACAGAGGAACAGGACCTGAGATTGGTCCTAGGAGCTCCCTGGAGAAGGACTGTTCTCCACTGGATTATTAAGGCAGGACAGCTGAAGAGGGCCTTTCCAAGTGAAGAGAAAATGTGCATAGGGCCTAAACAGTTTCCACTACTGCCTACCCATGCCTCCACACAGCATTTTGGGAAGCCTGCACTGTGCCAGGAACTTTCGGTGGGAAGGTTCTTGTAGATCTCCATGGAGAGGACAAATGCTGTGAGAAGAAAAGATGCAGATGTCAGGGCAGTTATGCAGGCCTGCCTTTGGTGCTGTGGGGGCCTGGCTGGGCTCCTGGGCCACACTCCCTCTAGGGTCATGAGTTGTACTTGCATTTGAGATGTAGCCAAGTGAGTTCTCACCGCCTTCTTCAAGAAGTCCCCAGCTGCAGTTGGACATAGCCTGAGACATGAAGATGAGCATTTATAAAGCACCTGCTATATGCCTGGCACTGTGCTGGGTGCTCAGCTTACACAAGCATTGTAATCTGCAAAACAATCTGGTGACAATGGTAATTTTATCTTCCTTTGCTAAGAAACTTGTCCAAAGCCACAGAACTGGAAGGGGTAGAGTTGGGACCCAAATCCAGGCACGTTTGACTCCAGAGCTGCCAGTTGTCCACTGCCCTGGGCTCTTTCCTGACAGGAAGGCACCTTTTCTGTCACAGCCTGAGTCATCCCAGGTCAGCCCCCGGTGGGAGAAGGAAAAACACCAGACAAGTTGTTTGTGACAGTGAGAGGCACCGCAGGCTTGCTGTGCTCTGAGGCTGCCACCTGCTTTCTTCCTCTGGATATGGCTGACCTTCTCTGTCCCCTTCTTTTAAAAGTCTACAAGCTGGCTCTGGGTGTGGCCTCTCTGACCAGCAGACCCGGGAGGTAGTCTCACATCCAGGGCCTGCAGATGCAAGCTGGCTGCTTTAGCTCAGCCAGTCTCTGGTTGGCTGGAGGAGGCCAAATTATAAATGTGTGTGCTGACAGTAAGAGCTACAGGGCACAGAGGAAAGCAGAGGTCCCTGTGGACTGAGCTAAAAAGTCACAGAAGTTTTGGGAGCAGACGTGTCTAATCCAAATCCTGGCTCTGCCACATGCTGTGCACGGCAGATTGAATTTTCCAAAGACATCTGCAAAAACATCTTCTTTCTCACGTGTGATTATCTTGTATGACCTTGATACCCTCTCCACTAAGAGCCATGGTCTAAATCCCTTCCCCTTGGATTTGCAATCAAATGCATGGCAGAACTGGGAGAAGTGACATTGTAGGACTTCTGAGACAAGGTTGGAAAAGGCAAGGTGACTTGTACCCTGCTTGCTGGAATTCTCAAGCTGGAGTCCTGTGCCTCCTTGCAAGGAGTCTGACTGCCTCGAGGCCCTGAGATGACATGAAGCCTCTGGCTCCTCTAGCACTCTGCTGCCCCTGCTCAACCATTGTCTGGCTATAACTGCATCAGGCTCCATGCTGCGACCACCCCATGAAGCCTTCACAAATTTCTGACCCACCGAGAACATGAAAGAATAGCTGCTGCTGCTGTTGTTGTTTTGCCATAAGTTTAGGGCAGGATTTCTAACACAGAACTACAGAGCTAGAACACTGTGGGAGCTTGTATAAGCTAATCCATCTCCCTGAGCCTCAGTTTCCTTGTCTACAAAATGTGAATAATAATGCCCAGCTCATGGGGTTGTCAGGATGAGCATGTGGCTGCACCCAACACGAGGCTGACTGAATGAATGAACCTAGGAGAGACACCTGATCGTTCCCCACTGAGAGTCAGTCTGGAAACAACCACAGATGGAATCCTTGTCAATCAATCCTCTTGAACTTCCCAAAGGGAAGGGAGTTGGGCTGTTCCGATAAAAAGTTCCACTGTAAGGTGCTGATGATTTTGACAAGCTGTGCTTAAAAGACACAAGTGCCACATTAAGTGCCTTAAATGTGACCATCGTCTGGGGCAGCCCTCTTTCCTGTCCCTGCTGTCACCTCTTACCTGTTCTTCAAATTCTAAAGCCTCACTCTAGGTTATTTACTACAATGGCCCCATTTGAGTCAAGGAGTGGGACATCGGTGGGAAGGAGGGCAAAGATTGATTGAACATTTTCAATTAAAAGAAGCTGTCTTTGAACAAAGATTTAAGATCCAGGCAAGGAGAGGCAATAATTCTCTTGGCAGGGACTCTTAAATATATTGCAGTATTAAGAGAGAAAAAAATTGGGGTTAAAATTCCCAACTCTTCATTGTCCGCAAAAATCTCAGGATAGTCTGTAAATTGAAAATCACTATCCTCAGAGTCTTATGGAGGTCATTGGTCTGCTTCTCCCAGATGGCAGAGAATGGCCAGCCACGCGGGGCCAGTGGCATCAGGAGCCTCAAGCAATAAAGCCGGAGGGTTCGGCTGGGATAGTTGGAAACTCAGACTGATCTGGTGACTTCTGTCCAGATTGTTTTGAAATAAAGGGTGTCAATCATCCCAGCATCCCCTTTCACTGAGCTCTTCAACAAGTGACAAGGATTTGGGTATGCACTGTCCATTTTCATGCATTCATTCACTCATGCATTCATTCACATAGCTGTTGTGTACATTGCTATAAAAGGTGAAATAGATTGGGGCTAGATAAAAAAGAATTAAGCAGATACACTTTATAGTCCAAAGGAAGAGACTGACGTGTCCCAGTTACCAAGCAGGCTGGGGCACTGTCACCTTCACCAAAGCAACTACTATTTTTTGAAAAGTTCACTCAGTGCTGCATACTTAACTGTCACCAATCCTCAGGACAGCTCTTCAAGGTCAAAGCACGGTACCGCACATATTTCACAGATGAGAAAATTGAAAATCAGAGAGTTTACATAATTAACCTACAGTCTCATGGCTTGAAAGTGACAGAGGAAACACATGAACCTCAGTGTCTTCTAAAAA